CACCTCACTTCGTGGCCTGCGGACGACCTTGGCTACTACACTGGCGCATGGGTACAATGACTTGTTGTGGTAACATTTTCTGTAAGCTAGCTTAGTATACGACTTTTCCCCCTGCAATTGAAGATTTCGGCGTGCGCGCGCGAAGAAAAAACGAATGTGTCCCATATGGTATTATTTGACAGGGATGATGGCCCTGGCAGGCGCGCAACCGTTGTTGCAGAAGTTCGAAGCACGTGAAAAAGTTGCTCGCAAGAGCCCGTTTGACAGAAATGTTGAAAAAGTATTGGGTTTCCTAAGAAATCCGCAAGAGCGCGCGGGATGAATTTTTGAAACTTTTTTTTGAAAAACCATTGGGTTTTTCATGTTTTTATGTTAAAATCGCTACGAAAACTAAGGTTTTGGAAGGATTTCATCTTGCGCGCGCGAGTGTGCACTTCGTGTCATTTTTTGCAAAGGATTCTTGAAGTTTGGTTATGTTAGAACAAGACATGTCATTTTATATTGTTTTTGACAGGGAAAGCGGGCGTCAACAAAACAACCGGATCCGGACTCCCCCGTTTTGCCTGAGACTTCCTCACGAAAATGATGAAAATGTGGCTGCGGCCTAGGCGCGGCGAGGGGGGCGTGCACCAGGGGGCCCAACAATAATTATTCTTTAGAAGTAATAAAATTCAACAACGACAGCAGCAACAACAACAACAGCAGCAACAACAACAACGACAGCAGCAACAACAACAACAACGACAACGACGACGACAACGACAACGACGACGACAACGACAACAGAAAATACGAAGCGCTGCCCGAGCTCCGGGGCTGCCCCGCTGCCTGAGGGCGGGAAGGCGCACGCGGGCGCCGATGACGACGTGCGGCGACTGCGCGCGGGCCGATCCCTGGCCCCAAAATTATGTCGGGCCGAAATTATGTTGGGCCGATCCCCGATCACAACGACAACAACAACGACGACAACAACAACAGCAACGACAGCAACAACAACATCAACAGCAACAACATAAGCAACAGCAACAGCAGCAGCAACAACAGCAACAACAACGTCGACAACAACGAACAACAACACCACCAACAACAACCACAATCATTCTAAGACTGCTCGCTCCTATCTGCCCGCGTGTCATTCACTGCGCACATCCCAAACCCTGGATACCCGCCGTCTTCGTCTTCGATCGCGCCCCTCTTGGGGGGTTATATTTCTTCCCGGCCACGTGTCATTGGAGAAGCGCGGGAGGCGAACCCGCAATCAGAGGCAGCGAGCTCTGGCACTTGTCGGTGAGACCCCATGTCGCTTGTCGCAAGCAGATATCAGCGGCAATCCACACTGAGACCCCATTTCATTAGCCACAACGCTGGGGTCACTGCGTGCAAGAAAGCGAAGTACGACAGTGGACACTGTTTTTGCCCAGCGGCCCCGCGGGAGGTGAAGTCGGAACCCAATGTCATCAATCACATTGCTGGGATTCGCGCGTGCGGGAATGTGATCAGCCATATACAATAACGAACCGCCATTACCACAGCGCCAGGATCTGCTTGTGCGAAAAGGGTAAGCCTCAGCAGCAGGCGCTGGCGATGCTGCTCAGCGTGATGTGGAAGGCAACGCTCAAGGAGACGTGGGAGGTGAACTTGGCCCCGCCGTCGCCGGCCACGTTGGGGGAGAGCTCTGGCAATGTTCGGGGGCACGTGGGGGACGATACCCAAGCCGAACGTCATCAGCTGCAGCGCTGGTACCGGCGTGCGCATTAATCGCCTCTGAGCTCTATTCCCTCGGAGAGGTGCGTACGATAACAAAAATTATTCTTCAGGAGTGAGAATTTGAAGGAGGTCCCAAGCGGGAGCGCCGTTGAGAGTTCATCGTAGCTCAGTTGCGCGGGAAGTCCCAAGCGGGAGCGCCGTTCCTTGAGTAAATTGTGCGGAAGTCTCAAGCGGGAGCGGGGGTCCTGAGTAAATTGCGAGGAAGTCTCAGGCGGGAGCGCCGATCCTGAGTAAATTGTGAGGAAGTCTCAAGCGGGAGCGGGGGTCATGAGTAAATTGTGAGGAAATCTAAAGCGGAAGCCGTTGTTGTTGTAATCCGGGGGGGCAACAATGCAGTTTGAGGATCAAAACTTTCCCTGCCAAAAAACAGGATGCGAGCGTCGAGGGGCGCACTTTGACTGAGAAAAAAAAGTGTGCACCGGTGGGGGGGATCAACAATAATTATTCTTCAGGAATGAGAGTTCAACTGCAACAACAGCAGGAACGACGACACCAACAACAACAGAAACAACAACAGCAACAACAACAACAACAGCAATAGCAACAACAGCAACAACAACGACAACGACAACACCAACAACAACAGCAACACCAACAACAATAACACCAACAACAACAGCAACAGCAACAGCAACAACAGCAACAACAACAGCGAAAGCAACAGCAACAACAGCAACAGCAACAACAACAGCAACAACAACAACAGCAACAACGACAACAACAACAACGACAACAACAACAACAACAGCAACAACGACAACAAGATCAACAACAGCAACAACAGCAACAACGACAACAACGACAACAACGAACACCAACAGCAACAAAAACAACAACAACAACAGCGACAGCAACAGCAACAGCAACAGCAACAACAGCAACAACGACAACAACAGCAGCAGAAACTACAACAACAGCAACAACAGCAACAGCAACACCAACAACAACAGCAACAGCAACAACAACAGCAACAACAACATCAGCAACAACAACAGCAACAACGACAACGACGACAACAGCAGCAGCAGCAACAACAACAACGACGACGACGGCGACGACGACAACGACAACAGAAAATACGAAGCGCTGCCCGAGCTCAAGGGCTGCCCCGCTGCCTCCTGCGGGAGGGCGCACGCGGGCGCCGCTGCCGACGTGCGGCGACTGCATGCGGGCCGGTCCCCGGCCCCAGGAGCGGGCCAGCCGGGCCCGGCGTCGGTGCAGCCCTGACTCCAGATCCGCCCTACAGTCGGGGCGTTGACCTAAGGAACCTTAAATAAGGAACGAGGCCCCTTTTTTCCATAAGTTCTACTTCTATTTCCCATGGAAAACCTCTTGAAAACCCGTGACAAGCTGTAAAACAATCGAGGAACACTGAGCCCCTCCCCAACGAAAAGGGTTCCTTCTTCGGCGCCCCGACTGTACTTTGGTTTTTTCCAGCTTAAAACTGCGTCGGAGATCCACCTATGAGAGGCCGAAAGAGTAGAGCGGAAATGTCTGCACCCAACAGAAAGTAGGGCGGAACTCCGCAGGAGTAGGGCGGAAGCAGCAACAGAAAAGTAGGGCGGAAATTGGCATCAGCGGGGCCTGAAAAATAAGGCGGAAATCCCAAGCCCTACGTACGAATTTCCCCAAAATAGGGCGGATCCGGACAGGGGGCGCCGCCCGGTCCTGGTCCAGTCGCAAGCACTCGAATATGCTCGCGTCGATGCCGTCCGCCATGGCGCTCATCGGCAGGACCGAGAAGGGCTCCTCCACCTGTGCGCCGCCAGGACACACACACACACACACACACGCGCACACACACACACACACACAGACACAGCTCCGCGGCTTCCAAAGTCCTGCCCCAGGTCGCTGAGCAGCGGTGGACATGGATGGACATGGATACATCCACCCCCGGAGGGAAAGACATGCGCGCTTCGGAGGGATACCCCATTTCGGAGGGAAAGGAATACGCAGTTCGAAGAAATGCGCGTGCATCCAGGGGAGACAATTCCCCCATGGATGCATACCCCTCGGAGGATCTTTCGATTTCGGAAGTGGCGATGGACCGCGCCAGGGGCGCTGCTGGGGGCGCCGCCAGGGGAAATCCACCGCCGATGCAAGAAATCCGCGCGGACCTCCGACAGTTTGTGCTTGCGGCAGGCTCGCGTCGTGTCGACCCCAGCGTTGGTTCCTGACACCGCGGGGATCGCTCAAACTTGAACGCCGGATCGCTCGACGACGGATCGTTCAACGACGGGCCGATTATAGGGCCACGGGCGGCATTCAACCTTCAAACGCACGCTGTGGGGTCGCCGCCAGTCGGCACGACGCGAACCTGCCGTACTCGTGTTTTTCTCATTTGATTCCTCACCTTCGGGACGAACAAGTTGAGGGTCTCTAGGCGTGCGAGACTGTTCCCCCCCATAACCCCCCCCCCCAAGGGACCCCAAACCGGAGATTTGACCCCCCCGCCCCGGCCCCGGACGAACGCCCCCCTGGCCCTGGACGAACGCGTCATGGGAGCATAGAGGGCACCAAAACGGGCCCAGAGGGCCCCAAGTGGGCCCCAAGACGATCCAAGAGGGCCCCGAATCGTCGAATGATCTTTCCAAGACGCCCAAGATGGCATCCAGACGGCCCAAGATGCCTCCGAAACGCCCCAAGAGGCCTCCAAGAGGCCTCCCAAACGGCACCGAAGAAGTGAAGATTGCCCCATTTCCTTTGGAAAACGTATGTTGAACACATATTCGCCTCTTGTGCTTTCATAACGTACAAGACGGCCCAAAAGACCCTTTTTTTTCCCTCGGAGGTCTTCCGGAATCCGTGACGTGCCGCTGGCGCCTGGAGAAGGTAATGCACGAAGCAACGCGCCAGAGGCGCGCAATTGAGAGACAAGATGGAGTGTTCCACATTTCTGACCACCTTGAGGTGAGTTCAAAGAATCCTATATTGCCGCATGTCGGTGGTCCCATACCCTTCCAAGCGTTCTCCCACCCAGTGGACAACCAGCGCTCAAAGGCACCAAGGTGCTAAGTGGCTGGCGGCCTGAATGCACCCAACGATTCGTCTTGTCGCGGCTAGTCGATGGAAGTAACCAACATTCCCTGTCTGGCGGCACTGAGCTAGGAGAAATGGCCCACCCACTGTAGCTGCAGTAGCCTTGCAGAGAGTCACCAGGCAACTATGGTGCAGCATGGTGTAATCGACTAGAAAACTGGATACTGAGCGGGAGCGAGAGACTGGCCATCTCCTGTGCCTTCGAGGAGCAGGCCTGCTGGAAGCCCGTTGACACTCCCATCTCACTCTGAAGCGTCGTCCTCCCGCAGGAAGAAGTTGAGCTCTCCCGTTTCACTCTGAGCCGTCATAGCTCAGCTCGGCGCCTTTACCTTTTGTCTTGCTCCACATTGTATGGGCGACCGCGCCGACGGCGGCGCCAATGCACAATCCGACGACCAGGGTGCCGAGCGACAGCCCCGAGACCCCCGAGCCCGCCTGTTGGGGGGCGAGGAACGACATGACGCCTCCTTTGGCCTCGTGGATGCAGATGATGGTGCTGACCTTGCGCGCGCACTCGAAGGCACTCAAATTGCCCTTTCCCTCGCCGATGGGGCAACCTACCTCGTAAGTCCCGGCAAGCACCCCGTAAGTGGCGCGGTCTGAGCTGTAGCCAATCTGCACGCCGTTCTTCCACATCTGGGTGCTGCCGCCGCCGTCCAGATTGATCGCCTCGACTGCACCGAAGCTAACCATTTTGTCGGCCAACTCATTCATTGTCGCGCCCCAAGACGGGGCGCCCGTGTGACCATCATACTGAAGGAGGATGAGCCCACCATTCTTGTCCCAACCGATGGTGGTTCGCCCAGAGGTCATTTCTTTATACTCGTCCCCGCTCGAGCCCGCAGCGGTATAAGCCTCCTCCCACCCGGCATCCACGTTGTTTGATCCGTTACGCACGATCCAGCCCAGTCCACCCACCAAGTGCTCGAAAATCCCAGTCTCTACGGTCTCTGGCGAAACGTAACCAATGACGAAGCTAGGTGGTATTCATGGGCTCAGTGTAATGGATCTCGCCATCACTTACAACGTTGCCAATGCATTGGAACGTGTTATAATAACCGGCGTCAGTGGCCAAGATGCAACTGGGATTGTACAACGCCGCCGTGTCCGGCACGTAGGCAATCGTTCCACATCCGCCGGGAAGCGGGGGCACCACCGCAACGCGGCCGAGAGGGTTGGAGACCTTGACCAGATGCCCGTTTACGTGCGCATGGGAATCGTGGGTCTTCGAAGTGGATGATGTGAACGCCGTCTGCCAAATGGTCATGTCGATCTCCGGGCCGCCCGAAGCCATGGGCGCCGTGACCATGACCGTTTCCGTCGGAGGGCCTGCCTGGACGCGCCATGCGTAGGTGACCGCAAGTGCAGCGGCCCGCATTTCCGCTGGCCCTTGCAGGGGGATCGTTCAGGGCCGACGCTGCGCAGCAGCGGTTCGCAGCACGCGGGGGCCAGAGCCGGGCGGGCTGCGGCGCTTGAGCCAAAATGGCTACGGACGGCCCAAAAGACCCCTAGGACAGCTCCAAGACGGCCCAAGAGGGTCCCAAGGCCGACACAGAAGCACCAATGACGGCCCCAGAGGGCCCCCGGACGGCGCCAAAAGGAGGCCCTCGGGGGGAAACCGAACCCACATTTCCAGCCTTCGGCCCCAGGACGCCCCCAGGTTGCCTCAAGAAGCCTCCAACACGCCCCAAGAGGTCCCCAGGGAGCCCAAACAGGGCCCCCCAAACGCCCCCAAGAGAACCTCCCAGGAGGCTGCCAAGAAGTCCAACGTCTGCCTCCAAGACGCCCCCGAAGTCCTCCGACGAGACCCGAGCCAGACGCGACCCCAGGGAGGGAGGGAGGGAGGGAGGGAGGGAGGAGGAGGAGTAGGAGGAGGAGGTTCCAGATCCACCACGCAAACATGCGCTGCGGGCGTGCCAGACTCGTCCCAGGCGGCTCCCCACGAGGCCGGAGGCAGGACGTGGAACGCCGTCCTCGACGCGCAGTAGTTTATAGAGGGGTCGGCGGATGTGGCGTAAGCCTATAGGATCATAATACCGTTATATTAATATTACTACTACCACTACTACTACTACTACTACTACTACTACTACTACTACTACTACTACTACTACTACTACTACTACTACTACTACTACTACTACTACTACTACTACTACTACTACTACTACTACTACTACTACTACTACTACTACTACTACTGCTACTACTACTACTACTACTACTACTACCACCACTACTACTACTACTACCACCACCACCACCACCACCACCACCACCACCACGACTACTACTACTACTACTACTACTACTACTACCAATAAAACTACGAATTATACGAATACTAATAATTATATGAAGATCGTACACACACTGATACTGATTATAATACCAGTAATCATAACAGTAATAATAATCATGATAACAATAAGACTCATCATAACACTAAAAATCATAAATATCCATAGCTCACTGCCCCTCGAAGTCCGGAGGCACGACTCCGGAGCGGCGGCTGCGGGCGCAACTCCGGCGGCGGCGCCTGCACGCCGATCTCCTCGATGGCGAACAGGAAGAAGGCCAGCAGCGTCGAGACGGGGACCACGATCCAGTGTGGCGTAATGGCGCCGTACAGCGCGAAGGGCAGGGCCAGCATCCAGACGAAGAGGAATCTGGAGGTCAGCCTTGTGTACGACAAGGGAATGGGGGTCTTAAAAATGCGCTCGCACATCCCGTAGTAGTCGGAGAACTTTGTCAGGTCCTCGTCCAGCTTCATCTGGTCGATGACAGGCAGATTGGCACTGTGGATCGCGTCCGACAGCATGCCGGTGACCTGGAAGAGCAAGCAAGTGCACAAACAGACATACACGTCGTTCATTTCTCATCGTGCTCATTTCTAATGATGCTCGTTTCTGACTGCTCCTGGCCCCTTAGTGGCCAGGAAGAGGCCCAGGATAGAACAATTAGAAATGAAAGGATCTTGGCCACCCAAAAATGAAGGGGCCCCGGGGCACACAAATAAGTACACACAAATAAAAGGATCCCCCATACTTTCCCACAGTTTCTGGGCTTCTGCCTTCCCCCCCACACTGCCCATGTTTTCCCATCTTTTCTGGGGAATCGACGATTCATTGTGTGTTTTTTTCCTTCTGCAGAAAACTCCGAGAACTTTCGAATATACACAGAAACGAACAATGTCGAAGCTTCCATTACCAGCCTCGAACGTATCCCTATCCCTAAGATTGACACGCCACAAGGCGATGACAATCTTAGGGATTCGCCTTCAAAAAATAACTGAAGATATGTTCCAGGCTGGTAATTCCAGAGGTCCGCGTGGGCACGTTGCTGCGGCGCTGGGCCCCCCTCCCCTCGCACCCCCCTCCCCGGCGCGCCGAGGGCACGGTGGGGGCGGCGCTGAAGACGCCGCCAGCGAGGGGGGCAACGGCAGGCTTGAGTCGGGCGTGCCCCCCTACAGGGGGATCTTCGACGAAAAATAACAGGTATCCCAAAAATACCCCCAAAAGCCCCCCCCCCCCCCCAAAAAAAAACTCAAAAAATAATCCCCAGGCCCCAGACTATTTTTGGACTATGTTCTGACTATTTTTGCGGTATTTTTGATATTTCTTCGAAAATCCCCGTGTAGGGGGAAATGCCCGACTTAACGATAGGGGGGACTGGCATCGGGGGGGATGCATCGACCTGGAATCGGCGATACATCGCCGATAGCTCGGCGACAGGCTCCCGATGGTGAGTCCGCACCTTCCTGGGCGGCTTGGGGCCATCGGGCCCCTATCGGCGATCCATGGGCGACTGGAGGTCGATGCATTCCCCCCTACCCGGAGATCCGACAATGCAAACAAAATTGCAACATCGCAGAAAATCACGACCGGAGCCCCGGACCCCATCCTGGCCATCGCTCGGACGTCGATTTCCTGTTTTTTTTTGGCTTCGTGCGTGGTTTTCTTGCCAAATCATCAAGGATGCTCCTCGATGGTCCTCGCCGAAAGAAAAATGCACACGTCCGAGCGATGCCAAGCATCTTCCTGCGTCACTTTTCGAGCCGCATCGAGCTGCGAGGGTCCCGCGGGGCCCGAACTGGAGCGAAACAACGCCCGGCGCGGGCAAAGTGTAGCGCCAGGATCTCCGGGCCCCCCCGTATGCCTATCCGCCCCCCCCTTGCCGTCGCTCGGACGTCCATTTCCCGTGCATTCTTCGGTTTCGTGCGTGGCTCTTTCGCCAAATGATCAGGGATGCTCCTCGATGGTCCTCGCCGAAGGAAAAAATCCACACGTCCGAGCGATGCCTATCGCCCCCTGTCGTTGCCCCCGAGGCAGGGCCGTCGGGAGTTGGGCCCGGCGCCGGTGCGAGAGACCCGCGCGGACCTCCAGAAGATGATATGCCGATCCAAGAAGCGTATACGGCAGGTTCGTGCCGTGCCGATCTCGGCGTTGGTTGCTGACACCCTGCCTCCGGATCCGCCCTACTTTGGGGAAATTCGTAAGTACGGCTTGAAATTCCCGCCATACTTTTCAGGCCCCGCTGATGCTAATTTCCGCCCTACTTTTCTGTTGCTGTTTCCGCCCTACTTCTGTGGATTTCCGCCCTACTTTATGTTGGGTGCACAAATTTCCGCCCTACTTTTTCGGCCTCTTATAGGTGGATTTCCGATGCAATTTTAAGCTGGAAAAAAGCCAAAGTAGGGTGGATCTGGAGTCAGGACACCGCGAGGATCGTTCAGCCCTGAACGATCGGGGCCGTTTCCGAAACGTCACATCTTGAGTAGGAACCGGCCGTCACGGCATCTTGATAGGCCTACCACAAGTTGTTCTTAGAACCCAATAATGTTCTAAGAACAAAACAATGTTCTTGGAACATAAACCCGATGTGTTAAAACAGGACAGTCCCAGCCAGAAGCTTCCTAAGAACACTTCGTGGAAACCACAGAAAGGTTCTTCGAACAGTCTTCGGTAGGCCTCTAGGCCAGCTGGGACGCTTCGCCACTGCTTGACTGAACGATCGGGGCCGTTTCCGAAACGCCAGATCGTTGGGCATCGACCGGCTCTAGGTCGCCGGCGGCGTTCCGCGCGGGCGCGCGCGGGGACCTCCGAGAAGCTGCGGTCTCACGCCGCTCCGTGCCCCTCTCGCCTGGGGCAAGAGTTGTGGATGCCACGACAGTGGGCACCCCAACAGTCCT